GAGAGCGAAAATAACGAGATTTTCAGTTCGTAATTAATCTTCGACCCAAATAGAACGGAATCGGGCGAATAAATCCGTCGAACTTAATTGGTTTGTTTATCGTCCGTGATCATGCAAATGCGAGCGTTATGTAAAGAGAACCGAAATAAAATAATAATGAAAAAAAAAACAGAAAGATAATTTTAATTTCGATGAAGGATTCGAAACGTTAATCGGATTTTGTAACGACCGCATCAAATTGTATTTGCGTAGTCCAAATTTTTTTTTCTCGAACTCTTCCCTTCTATTGGTGATAGGTGGTTTGGCTTTTGTGCAATTTGTGTGTATATATCGAGTGGTCACGTAAACATTGGAGTGTTTCCCAAATGGACCCCACCCCACTTAAGGATGGGGAAGATCGATTATTCATCAGCACTACCAGTCACCGCAACATTGTGGCTACTGCATTATTAGAAGCGCGCTGACCACATCATCGCAACAGCCTCTCTTTCCTATGAACACCATCAGCAGAATCTGCAAAAACAACAACGAAAAAAAAATAAATAGTAAAGTCTACAAAACGTTCTATGCATTATGCAGCACCCAAAAGAGGCATTTGCGTCATGCATTCTATACTATACACACCAACCTACGTTCTCTGCTAGCTCTAGCTTCAACATCCTGGCTTCTTCAAGTTATTATTATTATTATTATTATCTTGCAAGCCGCGAGGCATCGCGCGCTCTGGGAAATTACACAGATATGATCTATATTTCCCCAGTCGGATCAAACCGAATTTCGCAACGTCCCCTTTAATGTTAGTATTATTCCGGGTAATTTCGCATTCCGTTTCCTCAAATGACTTCCATATTTGTTTTGAATCATATAGAAAATCATTTCCAACATCAAATTATAATCTCAGACAATCTCATTGAGTTTAATAATAAAATTTACATTATAGGATATTTACTTAAGTTAGATTATATAGAAACCGTGTTACAAGAGTACTGCGTTGTAATAACTATCTATTAAAAACCAAAAAAATGCTTGATTAGTTTAATGATGTAAAGAAAGTTATTTATATATAAAATTTGTTAATTACATTTGCAAATATTGTCCAATTGTCGGATCAAACCGAATTTCGCAACGTCCCCTTTAATGTTAGTATTATTCCGGGTAATTTCGCATTCCGTTTCCTCAAATGACTTCCATATTTGTCTTGAATCATATAGAAAATAATTTCCAACATCAAATTATAATCTCAGACAATCTCATTGAGTTTAATATTAAAATTTACATTATAGGAAATTTACTTTAGTTGGATTATATAGAAACGTGTTATAAAAGTACTACGTTGTAATAACTATCTTACATTGCAGTACTCTTATAACACGGAAATATTTTCTTCCGCGTTTTATGAAAGCATTACAGGAATGTTAAGTCTCTAATTAAATCTATTAATACCAAAAAAATGCGTGATTAGTTTAATGATGTAAATAAAGTTATTTGTCAAATTATAATCTCAGACAATCTCATTGAGTTTAATAATAAAATTTACATTATAAGAAATTTACTTAAGTTGGATTATATAGAAACGTGTTATAAAAGTACTGCGTTGTTATAAGTATCTTACATTTGCAGTACTCTTATAACACGGAAATATTTTGTTCCGCGTTTTATGAAAGCATTACAGAAAAGTTAAGTCTTAAATTAAATCTATTAATATCAAAAAAATGTGTGATTAGTTTCATGATGTAAAGAAAGTTATTTGTAAATAAAATTTGTTAATTGCATTTGTTTACAGTGAAACCTCGCTTAACGAATTTCCGGATTTTTACTAGTATAGTGAAATATATTCAAAAATACAAATAATATCTGTACATAAGTTTTAAAAATGATGTAGCAGCACGCAATCTGGGATTTCTCTTCTCATCGTCACTCGTTATGCAAAACGTCGCTCGTTAAGCGAGTCATTTTTCTTACAATTCATTTTGCTCGTTAAGCGAATTGCTCGTTATGCGAGGTGCTCGTTAAGCGAGGTTCCACTGTATCTTTATTTCTTATATTTAATTAAGAAGTTTGTTCCGCATTATATGAAAGCATTATAGGAAAGTTAAGTCTATAATTAAATCTCTTAATAAGTTATGACATTTCCAATTGATGGTTTAAAAGTTAATTTAATTTATATTTGTTGGTATCTTTGATGGAATATACAAGATAACTAGTAGACTGTTGTGTATATTACGTTAGAAAACTCATTTAATTAAGCCACATAATAAATATAAGAAATAAACTGAACTCAAAACACATTTCATTACATTGATATTTTTTTAAATGTGAATTGAAGCAAATAAATTTGTATACAATTTAAGTTATTTGTATATTTTTCTGTTTAAACCAAATTTACTGTAAATATTATTGTTTAATGTCAATGAACTAATAAAGTAATTACATTTTTGGTTGTGAATTGGTACGAACCGACAAAATCAAATTATAATCTCAGACAATATCATTATTTTTAATTCAAATAACACATTTTATAGCTTAATAAAAATATTCTCTTGTTTTATAATCTAATAATAATATTTATTGCAACAATAAAGTATAAAATTAAAAAAATACTTAATACTATAATATAAAAGAATTAAACTGCTGCAAAGGCCTAGTGACAATAGGTCATTCTGCCCGCATAATTTAATAATTTTATTGAGAACATCTCCAAGTTACGACTAATATCAAACATCAAATTATAATCTGATACAATCTCATTGAGTTTAATAATCATTTTTAAGAAATAAAATTCTCATCTGCAAATAACACATTTTATAGCTTAAAAACATAGTTGTTTTTTGTAATTTAACAATTTTGCAGAAAATATTACCAAGTTACAACAAACATCAAAATGTAATCTTAGACAAGAAAAAACTTAACTTAAGTTTCATGGTTAAATATAAGAAATAAAGATAATTCAATTGGACAATATTTGCTAATGCAATTAATAAATTTGTATATATAAATAACTTTCTTTAGATCATTAAATTAATCATGCAATTTTTTTGGTTATTTTACAATTTAATAATTAAATAAAAATATTTCCAAGTTAAGACTAATATCGAATATCAAATTGTAAAATAAGACAAAATATAAAAAAAAGGTATTAAATTGGAGAATATTATTATGCAACTGCATAATAATCATCAAATTAATCACGAAATTATTTAATCTCTTGTTGTTTTACATTTGCGAATGATGTGATCAACGCTTTGATTTTGAGTCAAATTAAACTCTTCTTTATGCCCTCCTACAAGTACTGAATAAAGAAATCATAGTAAAAGATACAAATAGATATGTAGTAAAGAAAGTAATCTGTAGTATTTTTTAAATTATTTATTAATGAAACAATTATTATTAACTAAAGAAACTGCACAAAATCAACGTACTGTTGTGTCCAACCATTATTATTATAATTGTTAATATTCATCCACGGCGTCTCTTAGTCGCATTATTATATAAACATATACATCAGCATAATAGAACCTCCACCGTGATTCCGGTTCGATACACTTTAATATAAACAAAGGGGACCAAGAGTAAACATTCCCATCGATACTCCTATACCTTTACTCCGAATTCAAGACCTTATTATAAACACATAATGATCATTACACGTACAATCGTAATCGATCATCTTTTTCATATAAACAAAGCATAGGATTATTTTGTCCTGGTCTTATAATAAACAAAACCAACAGGGCAGAATCCCGTGGGAACGCTTAATCATCAATATATACAAACCTTACTACCGATCACAACTTTCACGAATTTTCAAGAATTAACTTTGTAAGTAGAATAAGTATTTAGAATTAGTCTCAGTAAAACCTTCAAAGACTGATATAGTCCCAGTAAAACCTTAATAGATTAACATAGTCTTATAAGAATCTAAATATGATGAGCATAGTCTCAGTAAATCTTAAATCGACCAAATAACGATTAAAGTTATATAAAACCAAATGAATTTCATTAAATTTCCAACTATTGAGACTCCACAATGACAACACCAGACAATATTCCACTGTGTCCAGAATTCCATTCCTGGGACAAGACAGTACATAACTTATATTTTATTCACATAATTTTCATTTTAATTAAAATTATGCAAATTTTAATATGTATTTAAATGAAGTAAATATATATAAAAAAAATACAACAATTACTTTTAATTAAAAATACGAGAAAGTCGTGATAATTATGAAAATCACATTTTTAATTAAATGTTTACCAGTAATTTAATTTGTTTTAATTTTTTTATATATAATAAATTCGTTTAGTTAAATATTAAATATTGTACAAACTTTTTTTTGTTGAACATCTGCATTTGTACCTTTGTTTTTTTTTTCTGTTGCACGAGAATTCCGAAAAGTAAACCGAAGAGAGATTAAAAAAAAATGTTATTTCGCCTGTGGGGAAAATGTATATAAGTTTGAAGCAAGAACCGCTCCAACCTTGGTTCTGCTGAAATTTATTTCGGCCCACCCACCAATTTAATTAACGTTGCAATCCTTAAACAACGTCCAAAATAAAATGAAAAAAAAAACGAAACGAGACAATGTGGAAAAAATAAAATATATATGCATTACAGACGTGAGGTAAATGGGCCACGGCCTAAACGGACGTTTCAATTATGTAAGAAGACAATTGTATGTGCTGCACGTTATAATGTGCTTTGCAAACCAATCGATTTCTTTAGATACACAAAAAAATATTTACACTTTAGAAATCATCAAAATCGTTTACATAATTTTGAAATTAAGTTTTTAAGATCACTTTAGTTTATATTTTATGAAACTATCGATTTCTTTGCATTTGTATTAAAAGAGAATTAAGTAGGAAAGTTATTTATTTATTTAGATCGATGCATTTCCAATTGCTTTGAATTTGATGTTTCAATTCATTCTTATTTAATCCTTTAAGTTTATCCATTCCTGAAAATTGTATTTTCATTGGTTAATCTATTGTTTCAGGTGTGAAGAACAGCATGTGTCTAACCGAGGAATGCGTTCGTACAGGTAAGAATGTTTATGTATTCGGTTACACCTCGCATAGTCCGGGTAATCCGGATTATTTGAAACCGAATATACAGTTTGTTTTTACATTTTCAAACTGGATTATAGTGAATCCGTACTGATCGAAGCCGCACCATGCGAGTTGTTGCTGTAATTATTCAATTTAAACTGAAAATTAGGGATTTTTCATGGAAACGAAATTTGATTGTTCGTAGTTTCGCGTTTGCGGTATTACAATTACGCGTTTCTGGTTTGACATGGAGCCATTTCCAAAAATCCAATTAAAATTCGGTCGAAGCGTACGCACATCGCCGAGCTCCATATAATGAGATGTAATTCCGGTAAATTAAGCCCCGGATCTGCCGTTGCGGATGGTTTCACGTCGGAAATTGTTTCATCCCATTTATTTATCTTAATATAAAATTAAACTGGAATTATATAAAAAAAAATGTTAATTAAAAAATGTCAATGAGCAATTTTTGAATCAATTTTCGTAATTTCCTTATTTTTCATATACACACATTTTTATACACAAATATAAAAATTAATCTATTAATAATTATAGTAAACCCTCCTATAACACGGTTTTCATATATCGCAGTATTAATTAGTCGCGTTATAGGAGAACTGAGTTTCTCATAACATACTTTTCATATAGCACGATACCAAATAATCGCGTTATACGAGAATTGACTTTAAAGAAAACCTATATAAGTATCAATTAATCGAGTTAGGTGAGGATTAAGTGAACAGTAAAACGATTTTTAACGCGATATTTTTTAATTGCGTTACAAGAGGTTATTTTATATTTTGATAAAAATCTTGCTAATAACGGTCGTGTTATAGGAGAATTCAGTTTCTCATATAAAATGGTACCAAATAATCGGGTTATACGAGGGTTGATTATAGAGTAAAACCTTTTTTAACGCGGTATTCTCTTAAAGCTGTATCAATTAATCGCGTTATAAGAGGATAATCTATATTTTGATAAAAAAATCTAATATCGGTCGTGTTATAAGAGAATTGAGTTTCTCATAACATGGTACCAAATAATCGCGTTATACGAGGGTTGACTGTAGAGTAAAACCTTTTTTAACGCGGTATTCTCTTAAAGCTGTATCAATTAATCGTGTTATGTGAGGGTTGAGTGAACAGTAACACGTTTCTTAATGCGCATCTTTTAATTGCGTTATAGGTTAGTCTGTATTTTGATAAAAATTCGCGCTAAAATCGGTCGCGTTATTCTTTTTTAACGCGGTATTCTCTTAAAGCTGTATCAATTAATCGCGTTATAAGAGGGAAGTCTGTATTTTGATATAAAAACAAATGCTAATACCGATCGTGTTATAGGATAATTGAGTTTCACATAGCATGGTACCTAATAATAGTGTTGTACTAGGGTTGACTGTAGAGTAAAATCTTTTATTAACGTGGTATTTTCGTATAGCTGTATCAATTAATCGTGTTACGTAAGGGTTGAGTGAACAGTAAAACGTTTTAACGCACTATCAATTAATTGCGTTATAAGAGGTTAGTCTGTATTTTGATAAAAATGTTGCGGATAGCGTCGCGTTATAGGAGGACTGAGTTTCTCATAACATGGTACCAAATAATCGCTTTATACGAGGGTTGACTATATAGTAAAACCTTTTTAACGCGGTATTCTTAAAGCAATATCAATTAATCGTGTTATATGAGGGTTGAGGGAACAGTAAAAGGTTTTTAAAGCGGTATCAATTAATTGCATTATAAGAGGATAATCTGTATTTTGATAAAAATGTTGCTAATAGCGTCGCGTTATAGGAGGACTGAGTTTCTCATAACATGGTACCAAATAATTGCGTTATACGAGGGTTGACTATATAGTAAAACCTTTTTAACGCGGTATTCTTAAAACAGTATCAATTAATCGTGTTATGTGAGGGTTGAGTGAACAGTAAAACGTTTTTTAATGCGGTATCAATTAATTATGTTATAAAAGGTTAGTCTGATAAAAATCTTTCTAATAGCGGTCGCGTTATAGGAGAATTGACTTTCTTTTATAACATGGTACCCAATAATCGCGTTATACGAAGGTTGACTGTATAGTAAAACTTTTTTATTGCGATATTATCGTGATATGTGAGTTTGAGTGAATAGTAAAACGTAAAAGTTTATTTAATCTTTATCAATTAATCGCGTTATAAGAGGTTTGACTGTATATTGATAAAAATATCAAAATTCATTGCTTTATATGTTTCTTTTTTTAAAAGTAATGGATTTTTTTACATAAAGGTTTAAAAATAAATCAGAAATTATGAAAACTTCTTTGTTCGTCTTTAACGATCAATTAAAGAAGTTTACGTATATTTTTGGTATTCTGGGTTAAATAATATTTTCAGAGAAAAATGTCGTGCACGTGGCTACGGCTGTACGCACGCAACGTAACTCCACTTTTAGTCGGCTAATCAATTCTGAAGTGGAAATTTATAATTGTTATTTTCCTATTCGATACGACGGTTACGTTTCCATTTCGAATACCGGGAATCTGCGACGTGAAATTTCAATCCAATACGCCGCAAAGCAAAGCTTGGAAATTGAGTTGTGCAACCTTTCATATTGATAATTGTAAGAACTCAAATATGGTTGCATTACTTGGAAACATGACATTAACAATACGTTACATTTGTAATTGAAATTTATTGTGGCAATAAATTTCACTATTTATTTAGAGTTTCAATATTTGATACGTTTTTTTTTGTAAAGTTAAATGAAATTGATATAAAAAATAAAGATACATTTTAGAAAATATTTCAGTTTCATAATTGAAATATAATTTTCAGTTATAATATGAATCCTTTGGAAATGTCACGAAATAGTCTTGAAATAATTGTTCAATTATGTATAAGGAAATGTATTGAAGAAACATTTTAGAAATGATTTGAATATCAACGGAATGACAAGTTGAAATATAACAGATGATTCTCAGGTTAAAAACACTGGTTTCCAATGTGAATCCTCTGGCAATACGATGAAACGGTACGTGCTTTTCGTGCAGAACGCCGAATGCATACTGATTCTTTGACTAGATTGAAGCCGTCCCAGTTATGATTATGCAGCCTCCTCCTTCGACGTGTTCATTATGTAACTTTGCGAAACGAACGGACGGTCGGTCTGTAATAAACTTGCGGCGGCGAAGATACAAAGATACAAACCAGAACGTGGAACGAGCGAGAGAGGAAAGATAAAGAGATGTACTCCCTTATTATTGCCACTTATCACATCTCAACTCGTTTCGCTCTCATAGCAGACACTTAACAGATTTTTACGACAACGAGCGCAGCATCTCATTCCATCCACTACAGCTGTTTATTACATCTCTTTCCGCCGCGAGATATGCAGCTAATTATCACGATTACATTCGCATCTAAATAGTATTTCAGAGCTTTGCTTTCAGCCGCCCACAAATAATGCTTCCAAATTTAATAATTTTAATTAAAAAAATAATTTAAAAAAAATATAAGCAGAGTAAATTAATATATATATATATATATATATTTTATTCAATTTTATTGTAAGGTTGTAATCAAGTTAATGAAACTCGTGCGACGGACTAGTATTGATCAATTTCAGGAATGTATTTTTCATTGCACTTCTGGCGGTTGAATGGGCCTTTTGAGAGTGGCACAGAATAAAACATTTGGGATGAAAAAAAAAGGGATGGAGCAGGAAGAAGGGACAGAGATAAAGGACGCGCCGAACAAAAAGCGTGCAGGCCACGTTCCCTAAATTATTAAACGGTCCAGTAGTTGCTGTTTTATTTATGTTTATGGGTGTCCCTTTTAACGGGTCTTCTTTTTCTACTTCTATTCCGCAGCGTCTTCACTTCTATCCGCGATGGATCATTCGGCGGATCCTTGCGTCGACTTCTTTCAATACGCTTGTGGTACTTGGAATAAACAACACATCATTCCGGAAGATAGGAGTTCCATTAGCACGTTCGAAGTGATGGCTGATCAATTGCAGATCATCCTTAGAGGTACTTAATAATGTACTTCGTTTTACTCTTAAATAAATGTTTTGTATGCAGGTGTTTTGGAGGAAGAAATCAATGAGTTAGATAACGAGGCCACCATCAAAGCGAAGACTTTTTATGGAACGTGTATGGATACTAGTAAGGATTGTTTTTGGATTAGGATTCAGGTGTGTAAAATCTGTTTTCGTTTATGGTTTTTTAGTGCAGATTCGGATGGTGGGCGATACGCCGTTACGTGCCGTTCTGGATTCTCTTGGTGGTTGGCCTGTAGCTGTCGAAGGTTGGACACCACCGGACTTCTCAATCGAGCAACTATTGGGGCTGATCCGAGGGACCTACAACGAAGGCATCCTCGTGGAGCAGTGGGTCGGACCGGACGACCAAAATAGCTCCGTTAACATCATCCAGGTGCGCACAAAGTAAGAAGTAAATAGATAGGCACATCATAAGGGAAGGGAGACTTTGCTCAAGTAGTAGTTGTTGTTGATGTTGTTGTTATTTGTGAAGTAGTGTACTATGAAATTCACCTTTTAATTCATCACAGCATTAAGATTAATTTTACAAGTGTTTGGGCTTCGATATGTATAGTTGGATCAGATGCAGCTGGCTTTGCCTAGCAGAGATTACTACCTGAAGGCGAGTAGCGAAGGAGACATGGAAGCTTACCACAAGTACATGACCAACATCGCCCTTCTTTTAGGAGCCAACAAGACGACAGCTACTGAAGAACTTAGAGAAGTCATCGAGTTCGAAAGACGACTTGCCAATGTAAGTATAAATTAAAACAGTGATCTTCAAAATGTACATATCTTCAAAGACTTTTTTTTTTGGAAACTAAAAAATTTCTAGTAACAACTGCCTTCATTTAAGACAATATGTCTTAAGTTATTTCAATATAATAAATTTACTCATAATATCTATATATTTTTACAAACAAGATCTGTGGATGGTAGGAATTCAGCAATGTTTGCAGATCATTGGTTAAAAAGTTCTAAAATAAGTTCAGCTCTTGGATGCGACCCTTCAGGCTGAGCAATTCGTTGCACTGCTTGAAATATTGCGGATTGCATGAATGCACTCTTCAGATATCGGTTGTGGAGAAGTCTGGAAGTCGTTTACGAGACATTCCGAGTTGAAAAATCAGGACGTTTTCTGTCTTCTTATCCCGCATTTCCCCGGAGCAAAATCGTCGTCGTCTCCATGGATTCCGGAAGGATTATTGCCGCTTGGGAGATTTGTCATGAGGCGATTTCACGTCCAGTCGGACGAACGCGATTTATATCGAAACCATAGCCGCTTTTACCGCAGCGAATCAAATATTGGTAGAAATAAATCCTGTCCCTCTTTCAATACTCTAGATTTATTATTATAGTAATTATTATTTATAATTGTATTTGAATTTATTGGAGTAATTATTGTGCGAGTTGAAGGATCTTGGTAAACAAAAATATTGTTAATGTTACAGGCATCTTTACCGGAAGCCGACAGACATGATACCAGTGTAATTTACAAGAAGTTTACTTTGAAGAAGCTGCAATCTCTGGTGCCTGAATTCAACTGGGAGGTTTATTTGAAGGTGTTCTTAGATATTAAGTTCACAGATGATGAGCCTGTTGTTGCATACGGATTATCCTACTTCATCGAAATGGGGAGGTTGTTGAGGATCACCGATAGAAGGTAACAATGATTATTTGCCTTTGAGATGCAGTTGATGTTACTTATTATGCAGGGTAATCCACAACTACGTGATGTGGAGATTGATAATGGCTTTGGTGCCGCACATGATAGACGATTATCAAAGGGAACGTGTGGACTTCAGGAAAATCCTTCTTGGTATACAAAGTGAGAGGCATAGGTGGTCCCAGTGCGTCGAGTGGACGAACAAAAAATTGGGAATGGCAGTTGGTGCGCTTTTCATCCACGAAAACTTCAATCACGAAAGCAAGGTGATATTTCCTTAGCTTTCTGATTAGATCGGGTTTAAAGACTTTGTTTAACTAGGAGACGGCTTTGACGATGATCCATACCATCCGAGAAGCTTTCAATGAGTTACTCGCAGAGAACCATTGGATGGATGATGAGACGAGGGCAGTTGCCAAAGAAAAGGCTGACGCTATGAACGAGAGGATAGGATATCCCCAGTTGATCACCGACAAGGAAGAACTCATCAAGGAATACGCAACAGTAAGTCTTTTTTGCTATTATCTTATATTTCCTGAATTAAACTTTTGTCTTAATAATACTTAAGCATTTGTTAAATAACTATTTTCGGATTCACAGGAGGGCTATGTAATCTAAATTAAACCTAATCTCAGATAGTTTTAATGGAATCGCGTTTTTTTTTCAATTTATTATAATCCTGTGGAGTGTTGAATAGAGTTATATAAAGTTTCATCACAGAATTAGCTTCCAATCCCATCGGTTTCCACTTTGCACATAACCATTATGTTTACCTACTGAATCCGTTCATATGATGATCATGATCATCAACATAATGCGTGCTTCATGGTGATATGCGACAATTCCCGTTTTTTGGTGGTGAGGGGGAGAAGGATGGAGGAAAGAGGAAGGGTTTATCTGCACCGTCATTTTCAACGCCGAGCAAATTAGATCTGTCACGCTTGGACCGTTTTAATTCGCTTTACGTCGCGCTTTCGGCAATCCCGCGCGTAATGCATTTAATTTCCTCGTGAAAATTAAATGTTTTCAATTCGATAATGATTCTTCGCGTTTGGAAATGTTGTAAACATTTACTCCAATTATAGCCCTTATTACATTTCCTAATTGAATTTCAATTTATTAAATCCTAAATTTTAATACTTTCTATCTGCAAATTACATTAGTTCTTGCACATAAATCCCACAGAGAAATCGATTTATGGGACTATGATTTCAAGGAATTATGTTTCATTTCTTTGTGACTATTAATAATCGCGGTTGATCGCATCGGTAAACATCTTCCTTGCTCGGAAACTTTGTAAGTTTAATCGTTTGGAAACACATCTGAAGAAAGGTATACGTAGCAAAACTAGTCTTCGCTCGAGTAAACCACTTGCAACCCTTATAAATTAAATCAATATTAAGGGATTATTTATTCATGTTTTTTTTTTTGTAATATTTCAAATAGCTCAACATAAGCAATGACGGCTTCATGTCCAATATTTTGAACGTCCTGAAATTCGACGCAGAGCAGAATCTCCAGAAGCTACGATTACCGGTTGACAAAGACAAATGGTCCACGGAACCTGCGGTAGTTAATGCCTTCTACAATCCCAACAAAAATGATATTGGTAAGTGCTATTGTTTAACAACAAACTACTACATTACACTCACTTCTCGACTTACGACGCAACTTCGTAAGTCGAAATGTAATTAAAAATGACAAAATTACAATAGACTCGAGGGATATATTTGATGAAACTTGTAAAATAAATCGAAGTTGTAAGGTCATAAGTCGAAAAGTTATTTTATTAAACTCTATTTTCCATGAAATATTTCATTGACTTCTCTGATTTGAATTCATCGAATGCATTAATCAAAACCATCTGGCGTTCATCCATTCCCAATGCGATTCACTAAATTACAGACTTTAGCAAAGACATTCCAACTCGCAATAAATCTGAGCTGAATGCAGCCGATAAATGGATGATCGCAAATGAAATCATTAAATTCAATGGCTCCAATTGAAAACCATATACACATATATAAATACATATATTCTATTGATTGCCATACATTTCATTTTTACGGCCATAAATAAAATCACATCAAAACAAGTCGATAAACAAGTTATATATAATTATGAAACAATTCATCTCGATTGACCGACTTCTTCTTGCAATGTAATGTAATGTAAATAGAGTTTGTAATTATTTTTGCGTGTCTTTTGCTTTGATTCGATTAGATAATTAATAGATATGAACATTTACATAACTGGTATTTGCGAAAAATGCAATTCGTGTTTGTTTGTTATTCTGGAGGTATAAGTGTTCTTGTATAAGACTCCGTGGCGCAACGGTAGCGCGTCTGACTCCAGATCAGAAGGTTGCGTGTTCAAATCACGTCGGGGTCAATCAATTCTTTTGTTATTTTGATAATAATTGAAATACTTTATTAATCACATAACTTATAGTTTATTTAATATTATGTAATATTATAAGAATTCTAGATTTGAAGTGCTACAAAATATTGTAATTAATATTTATATTGTATAATGACAAATTAATGTAATAGTAATACAGTGGAACTTCGCTTAACGAGCAAAATGAATTGTAAGAAAAATGACTCGCTTAACGAGCGACGTTTCGCATAACGAGTGAGGATGAGAAGAGAAGTCCCGGATTGCGCGCCTGCTACATCATTTTTAAAATTTGTGTACATATCTTAAGTGTATTTTTGAATATGTTTTGAATATGGATTAAATTCGTTAAGCGAGATTTCACTGTATATGAAATCATTACGAAGTAAATTGGATTTAGTTTTGATGATTTGGAAAAGGGTGATTAAATAAAGAAGGATTTGGTATGTTGGAAGAGAAGTAACCTCAAGCGCATTCAATTCCGAATTCATCAAAATCTTAATATGTTTCGTAATGGTCGAAGTTCAAAAGTGGGGAATGAAGTAATATAATTTGGAGCTCATCTGCAGTTGCAGGAGATGGGAAATTGGGAAATTACGTCTCTCGGAGGGCGGCTGACGACGCTCGTGCAAAAACCGAGGCGATCAAATGAAAAATTACTTTTCCACATTTATTTTACTCTTCTCTCTCTCGTATCTTCTGTAGCGTGTACATTCGGAAACCCTACAAAAAAAAAGAGAAAAGAGTATTGAATTAAAACTCGTTTCCAATCTGGTTCAGTGCATAATCTGTAAATTTCTGCAACGAAATTTATCGCCAAATTAATTAAATGTTAAATAACTCATTTTTTTTCTGTCTCTTTCCAACTGTTGCAGTGTTTCCTGCCGGTATTCTTCAGCCTCTCTTCTACAGCCAGCATTTTCCAAAATCCCTCAACTACGGCGGGATCGGTGTGGTAATTGGCCACGAAATCACGCACGGATTCGACGATAAAGGTAACGTTTTGCGCAATCACCGATTGCATCCAGTCATCGCGCCTCGTTTAAGGTAAATTTCGGTCATTACTCGAACGAACATGTGATTTCGAAGGAGGTAAATTCCTTTCGATGTCTACACATCATTAATATTCTGCGAGGGGTGTTTACGCAGCACCAATGCGTTGCGCAAATCAAAACAACATTTGCAGCTCAAAACAAACAACAATCTGTATATTTTCATTTGGAAACGCATTCTTTTTTTTTGTAAATTTTGTAAAATTAAGTTAATTTTATAGTATAAACATTATTTGCGTATCCAAATTGTATTTTCAGGTCGTCAATTTGATAAGGAAGGAAATATGATGCAGTGGTGGAACAACGCTACGATCAAGGCTTTCAGGGAGAGAGCCCAATGCATCATAGACCAGTATTCCAGGTACAAGATCGAAGAGGTTGGTCTATACGTCAATGGCAGAATGACCCAAGGAGAAAACATCGCTGACAACGGTGGCTTAAAGCAGGCTTTCAGAGTAAGAAAGCAAATATAAGTTAAAGTGATATTAATTGAATTATTGTTAAACTTAGGCTTACCGGAAATGGGTATCAGAACACGGTGAAGAACCGGAACTTCCGGGATTGAACTTGACGCACAACCAGCTGTTCTTCCTCAATTACGCACAGATCTGGTGCGGATCAATGAGACCTGAAGATGCTCTGACGAAGATCCGCTCGAGCGTACACTCTCCGGGTCCTATCCGTGTCCTGGGTCCTCTTTCCAACTCCCTGGACTTCGCGAAGGCCTTCCAGTGTCCTCTTGGATCCCCGATGAATCCCACGAACAAATGCAGCGTGTGGTAAATATCGAAGGAACGATGATGACCGCTCGTCGGAGATGGAGTGGCTTAATTAGATTGATGGATCGTTAAAAAAAATTAAAGTACATGGAAGAGCAACAAGCGCAACACGAGCTTTGCCAGGGTTGATTACCTGATGGACGCAACAGGCTGACAAGAATTTCCTCTTCAAATCTATCTCTTTTTTTTAAATCTAAAACCTCGTCTATTTAATCGACTCGTCACAAACGCAGGTGGCGCATTGTAATCCTAGATACAAGCAAACATATTAATAATTATTAATGTATTTAAGACGTAAGTTTATAAGAGTGTATCTAATTTTTAAGTGCAATTCTCTTACTACTAGGAATAAGTTTTTTTTTTTTTTAAACAAATTATTATTTATTTATCTAAGGTTTTCATACTCGTAAGTGATTGTACAATCGCTTAGTACTTACCACTAATTATTTATGATCGTCAATCCAATAATTAATTTGTCAAATAATAAATGACAGAACTATAATAATATAATTTATTTACATAACAAATACGTTTAAAATGTGCTGAAATGCACACGTTACATTAACAATTTTATTATATAATTGAAATAAAGAAATGTCAAAGTGGAGAAGTATGATTTGTTTAATTTATTGCGCAATCCATTAATATTTATATGTTTTAATTGTAATTTTAATCATTACTATATGTAAATATAAAAAAGAAATAGTTTGCTAAGCAATTAGGATTTAGGATTAGGTATCTTAGGTCGTTAGTTTGTCTCTATAGAACTCATATACTACTTAGGATTAAAGAAAATAAATATTAAATAATCTATACTAATGTAATTTAAATACACATTTGTTTTTTTTTTTGGTCGTTTGGTGTGATATTTATTAATAAAAAAAATAATATCAAACAAATGTTGTCTTTTATTCTTCATTGATGCCCTTACAACGATTCAATTACATAATATCAGCAAATCGAAGTACGATTTGTATTCGCACTTCTTGATGATGTGACAAAAGTGAAGATGCTGAAATGAACCATTTTATTGATTTTCAGGATCAACGTAATTACATAAATCAACAAGAAACGTAAACTGGGGACCGTCAGTTTTCGAATGGGTGCGCTGAAATTGATTTTGAAAATGCTTGAAAATTTAGGAAATATTTGCCCAATTCTTTTAATTACTCGAAAAATAATTTACTTTTTTTGTATTTTGTATTCTGAATTAGTTACGTTATTACGATTTGCAAACTTCTCATTTTTTGCCCTAACAATTCGACTATTACAAGCAACCAAATAAACAGAGATTTATGTTCGGTTGCAGACATCAAAGAAAAATGTATTTATTGTTGCATAATTTTGCTAATTGTATAGATTAATTATTGCCCTTATTGTGCAATAATAAACACAATAAGGGATTCAACGTAATGCAATTTATTATGTAAGAAAACTTACGTAATATTAATTATGTCATCTATTATGCAAATCAATAAATATTTCAGATTATTATGTTGAAATGATGGTAATTCTTAAGGAGACTAAAGTAAAAAAAATAATTAGGGTACTAATAAAAGTGTAATTATCGTCTAGAAAAAGGATAGCAACAAATATTTCGTATTAGTAATTGCTTAATAATTATCTAATAATCACCGTTAATATAATTAACAACCAATCAGCAGCAATCATTTACACGTATTTTTCTTACTTGAATTGGGGATTAACTTACGTAAGAACTGGCATAGATAGTTAATTACATTTGCGGTTAATTAATAAATAATTTAAATTGAGGAAGTTCAGGAAACGAGTATACTTTGAATTATCTATATTTTATTCTTTAAACATTGTCTCTTCTGTACAATTTACCTAAGCACACTTATTTAAAAACTCAAAAAACATGTACATCTCTTTGTGTGCATTTATAATAGTAGTCATAATAGTAATAATAATAAGGAGTAACACTAATCTTACAATGCTATTATATAATATGTTGTATATACTTGTTTTTTTCTTCTTCTCATATGTTTCATTTATTTATAATTTAATATTCATATATTCTCATTAAAGTTATTCCTTAACGGATACAGTAGTGCACAGTGAAGAACAAAATTAACTAAAAAAAATTGTCTGCCTGGAAAAAATTGGTATGTTCAGAGAACATTTCAAGCAAACACACGACGTGATGTCTTGTTTTCCAAAGAAAGAAACGCGGCGATGAAAACAATAAACATAAATAAATAAGAGAACATAAAGAGAAAAAAACTCACAAATCGACTAAAATTGAGCTCAATCGTCGCTTCTTTATAAAAATCTTGTTTTTTTTTTAATAATATTAGCAGTCTTCGCAAACATTGTTAATTCGGCAGCTAATAGATTATATAATAATAATATATGAGCAATCTTAGCACAACTTTCTTTTCCATTCTTTCCTCGTCTACTATTCCTTCAGCTTCGCGCACGGCGTCAGGAAATTTTCATAATCATCTTCATCATCTTCGCATCCAAATAAGTTACATCATCGAGTCGAATTTAAACAAAAAAAGAAAAAAAAACACAAACAAAATAATAATAATAAAAATATATTATACGTTAGGGAAACCTCACAGCTCGGGTTTCTTATTAAAAAAAATAATAATAAATGTTGTGAAGAAACGAAAGAACGAACAAAAAAAAAATAACTAAATGACTATTAAATAAAAAGCTAACTAGCTCCTTAGTAAATAAAGATACAGGTGGACATTCTGAAATCAGAATTTAATATAATATAGTAATAATAATTATAATTATAATAAACAAAATTTAAATAATCTTCATGGGACAGGTTGCGTCGGTGGAGAGTAAGTCTTTTTTTTTGTGTATGTGTTTTGTGTGTTTACAACGTTGATCTTCGCATCCGAAATTCAACTGAAAAATTTTGCCGCGTGTGGAGGAGGAGGATCATCAGGGTTTTATTTTTGTTGTTTATTGTTGTTGTTGTTTTTTTTTTTTGGTGTGGTGTAGAACAGTGTAGGCCACGAAACACATTCCTTCCGTCCAGATTTGTTGAATTATATAATTAAAGACACATTTAAAAAATATATATTTATACGATCTCTTCTCGTTCATCATCTCCATGGCGCGGCTGGATTACGCTTAACTGTAACCTATACTCTGTGACACCCCGTTCACCGTTTTCGACTTCAAGACATCGTTCTCGTAGGACATCACCGTCTCCTTTCCGTTCTCAAACACCCTTAAAAAATAACTAGATTAGTATACTTTGTCTTTAGTGATTATAGAAATGTCGTTATACTTCTTGGTTGTGATCTTCTTTCCGTTAACGAATTTGGTGGACGTCGATGTCCTCTTCATGTTAACGTTACTACCGCCGCCGTTCGTGAAGGAGCCGTTGAACGTGCTGAAGGAGCTGAAGCCGCCGCCTCCGTGTGATCCCAAAAACTCGTCCATGATGCTGCTGCCCAAGCTGAAGCCGAACGGGCTGAAGAGCTGTGAACTGAGCGCCGTCTGCGGATGAGAGTTGCGGTTGCGTCTCCTATCTCTATGACCGTGGACATGGTGTAATTCTGTCAACAATAGCAAAAACAACATTAAAATATAATTTATACATGATATAATCAATTTTACCTCCAAACAAACCGCCCAACGGGGAATCCCCAAAGAACTCCCTGAACACGTCTTCGGGATCTCTGAACGTGAAGAAACCAAAGTCCATGTCGAAGTCATCCTCGTGTCTGCTGCGGCCTCTCGGACTTCCACCATTGATCAAACCTTCTTTTCCGTATTGATCGTACATGCGCCTTTTCTTCTCTACAAATCAGAATAAAACAACAACAAATTAGTTGACTCAACACGTCGAATCGCGATACCAACGATTGATTCGATTGCAAATAATTAAGTGATAATCCATTAGGAAAACTTTGAGAACTAGAAGATGTTTCCAAAGTTACTTATCCTACTATAAAATAAAACGAAACGCCAATTATTCAAACAAACAAAAGTCCAATGCTTCGAATCCTCGATGATGAGAACAAATTGAAGACAGTTTCTTTATATGCTTAATTTATTTATTTATAAACAATTTTGTATCCATCGAAGAAAAACAAATATTTAATTTGCTAAATAAGCTATGAAATGGATTTGAATGTTATTTGAAACTGAATTATAATCTGATTGAGAAAATTAAGTATGTTGCAATGATATATATAAATTTTGCAAGCATATCCATCATTTACAACAATTAGTTTTAATTAGACAGTTATCTAAAATCACGGTTTTGTCGAAGCCGTTATAAAATCTTGGAAATGTTTTAGGAATTCATCAGATCGCACTTGCACACTTCATGCCAGTTGGATAATAATCCAAGTAGGAGATGAAATGAATACCAGAGAGAAGCGCTCATTAAAATACACGATAAAGGCCAAAGCGTGTTTGTAGAGTCACTCGAGTCCGAAATAGAGATGCAATTTGGTAAGCGGCGTTTTATTTTTTTTTTGGAACGTTAGCAAAGTTGTATTAAAGCTGAAATTATCGTAATTCTCACCTTAAAAGCAATCATACAAGAAAATGAAATAGAAAACAACATCACAAAGTTGGGTTAGTTAGTCGAATATCAATACTTAAAAGAAAACGAGATGGCTGGATTAATATTGTTATGGGCTTAGTTAATGCGTTCGAAGAGATTGATTGATAATTAATGTGTGGGATAAGTAATGAAGAGGGCGAAAAAAAACAGAATAAAATCACGCAAAACTAGTACCGAAGAACCGATGGAAAGGGGTGTGCGAGTCGAAGTACGTCCTGAAGGAGCGCGCCGTTCTACTGCTAGACCTCTGGGAACTCCTGCTGTCGTATATCTTGCGTTTCGAATCTGCATTTGATATTTCAAAAAAAAAAAGAGTGTTTTCACCTATGCTAAGTGCTTTTCTAACATAATACATTAAATTTGGGAACACAAAAAAAAAGTGTCGAATAAATAAATCAAACGAAGTCGCCGACTGTTTCGGAAAAACTCACCATCTGAAAGGACTTCGTATGCTTCGGAGATCTCTTTGAAACGTTTCGTCGCCTCGTCCATGTTCTCTGGATTCTTGTCTGGATGCCATTTCAGCGCTAGCTTACGGTATCTGAAAGAATAAAAAAGATACAATTAAAATCAGTTTTTGAGTCGCAACACAATAAACACAAATGTAATAGGTGTCTTTAAATATATTATAAGTAGCGCACCAAATATGAGAAGAAGTTACTTAACAAACGAAAACAAAACGCTCGGTTAATTCCAAGCACGTTCCGCGTATTCACTTCTTCCGGAGAAGTTCGTTGGCCCTTATGTGTCGCTATTCGAACGCTCAAAGGAAGATGATTCAATAATTACGCAATTGATGATCTATTTAAAAATTTGGTGGATGACGAGTACCTTCTTCTTTCACAAGATAAAAAAAAAAACGGAAATGAATACAGCCGCTTATAATTAGAAAAACCAAAACTTCCGCCACGTTCGCCGCCGCCTCATGCGATGGTGATCTTGAACGTGGCCACACGAAAATAATATAACCTCAGCCAATGTTAAAAGTACGGGAATCGACCAACATTTTTCGCGGTCACAACGATAACAAAAAAAAAAAAAAAGGAATTGAAAGAGGTAAGATAGAACTATGTTTAGGAACTTAGTCATCTGGCGACGGAGGCGCTATCCATGGCCACCTCTGCCAAGAATAAGAGACGGAAAAAAAGGTATTTTTTTTGTGCTGCGACCCTAAGGAGCGATGAATGGGCGATGAACAGGTGGTTTTGAAAATATCCTTAATAGGCTTCCGAGATTCAAGTTGTAGGTGAAGCTTGTAACCAAAAACTGTATGCGTGTATACGGAGTTATTAATGAATACGCGATGGATTGGTGGGGAGAGATGAAGCAGGAGGAGACGGGCGGCAGCATCAGCATCAGCATCTAGAACGTCAGCCCCCAAAAATAAATCTGATTAATGCGCTGTTTGGTGAAAATTGGGTTCATATTGGATTAAAATCAAAATATTTTCGACCGACGCATATAAATAGTTCAATTACAACAAACACAAACCCGTGTGCACGCACAGCAAATGCACCACCCGAAAACATTTGCAGCAGAAATACAATTACAAATTTACGAGCATAGGTAAATGGTATTATTTTAACTTTGAGAAACATGATCATCCTTCGTTTTTTCCCCCTCGTGTTTACCACCGTCGCGCTTTACGAGTTTACAACGAAACCTGTGTTGGGAGGCGGCGAAAACAGATGCAACAGTAAAATGTATTTTTGCGCTATTTACTTTGTCCACAAAAAAAAAAACAATTATTTCCCCTCAGTGATTCATATCCGTTAGAGTTCGGATACTTTGACCCGATGTTTGCTGTTCACTTGAGGAAAGCTTCCGAACTACTATAAAAAGAATATGCAAATGACACAGCGTTTACACGCAGCGATAGCATCAAAAGTAATTAAAGCCAATCCTCGCAGTGGGAGGCTCAAGATTAGGATCAATAACATAAGCAAAGTGTAGCGCGAAATGTTCGCGAAAATTTGAGGTATAAGGATAAGAATAGAACGCCAGACGAAACAGTTTTTATCTCGTTGAAATCTGCGCAAAGGGTGTCGTTTATAGGGATGTTACGGGATTTGGAACGGCCTAATACCACCGGAGAAATGTTGTAGAAGTGAGGTGGAGGGAGAAAAGGGAATTGTTGGGGCGGTTCAGATGGAAAAGGGCCAATATTGATCTGGCGCAGCGAGGAGGCAGTGGCGGAGGTGACCTCGGATTGCACCATTATTCCTCCCATGACACACATCTTTTATCATTACCGTCGAACCTAAGCAAATCAATGTTCGACACATGCACTTCAAAAAAGGAACATTCGTTCACGATTGAAGAGCTTCAGGAAGCGAGCAACAATTGGGGAGAGAGAAATTGAAAGGCTTCCTTTGAACCTCGGAACACTGAACAACATATACAACATTCGTGTGTGTCGTTTCTATAAGCAAAAATAGACTCTATTCTTTGCACGTTTATTTCCTGGCACTCGCGGATACATCTTTCCCTCGTCAAGTACAAGGTTTATTTATAATCCCCCGAAATGACAACGTCCTTTGTATACAAAGAAAAAACGAATAAAGTTATATTCCTGTTCACTCATTCTATCAATTTGGACATTCAAGCAAATAACAAAGAAGAAACTTTCCTATTCAAGCTTATACAACTCATACTTATTCCACATTTCTACAGATAAATTGAAATGTCTTCATTAAAAATTAAACTTGATTATTAAATAAGTCTTCTTTGTAGTTGAATGTAATATGCTAAAGACAGTAAAGTCTTCTAAAGTGGTAAAATTAATCAGATATAAACAAAATACTTACGCCTTCTTGATATCAGCGGTAGAAGCGCCGCGTGGTACTTCGAGGACCCTGTAGTAGTCCACCATCGCGGCGCTTGAGTTGTCCTTGCGCCCCAGGGTTAAAAGAACTTACTGCAAAAAAGAAAACAACAATCAGTATACTTTGTTACATAGAAATAATGTCTTCTTACAATTTGCAGCAATTATAAATGTGCATTTGCAAAACCAACAAATGTTATCATAAAGCAAACAAAACCAGCAAATTAATTTTCACCACGAACCGTAAAAAAGCTAATCAGTGAGTTTGCACATTCGGGATATGAATCTTCCACTTCAGATAATGAATGAAAAAGTAATATGTATATGTATTTATGTAATACACAGGCGCCGCAGGTCATCGGCCTTTTCTTCTCCATTTATTGGCTCGTGTGATTTCGCTTTTAGTAGGAGCAAAGATGTGTCTACGAAGAAGAGGTGTTCGAAGGCGTCGATGAATTATTCATCGAGTCACAAAGCCAAAAAGAAGAAAAAGCCGACCACTTGCGCAATACTTCAGATTAGCATAAAATTCGCGTAGTTCAGAGTGAAAAAGAATCGTCGCATTTAATAAAAAAAAAATCCTCCGGATCATAACATTCAATCTTACATCACGACAAGGTCGCTTATGAAATCAATAGTAGGGTAATAATGTTAATAAAATACCATATACCGGTATTACCATATTCGAGTTAAAGTTTCACAAAGTCATTTATTTAAACTGGAAACATTTTCACACGACAAAACCGAACTGAACAAAAAAAAAGCAACAACAATTATCAAATCCATTATTATTATCTTCGATATTTTCCGTTTCGCAAACAAACGCGCAATTCGCTGCCACCATTACGTAACGTACGCAGCAATCAATACAAAAGCGCAACGATTGCCTAAGTTTTATAATTTGTATTTAGAATATCAAATTTGCAATTTGAGGTAAACATTACAAAAGTTACTGAAATAACAATGTATGAGTCATTTTCTTTGTCGTATTTTAATTGGAACAAAGAAATAATAAAACCGCAAATGAAATCCAATTAAGCGCGAAACAATTACAAAATTAGTGAAAGTTTATCAAATGAAAATTTAATAATTAATTTACAGTTAATTAAATATTAAGGTAATGATAATTTCTAACGACAATTTTCGTGTAATAACGGTATGAAAAATTGTTGTGGACTTTCTGTCGCAACGGTGGTTTCCCATGAGCGACGTCCAATTTTCCACATCATTATTTTCTTCTATTATTCAATGCCTTGGTTCACGATCAATGTTTGTTAATAATTTCACAATGGAATTGTACTACACCGCAATGACGAAAGAGACATTTTATTTGTTTGTAACCGCTCATTTCTTTAACTCTAGACCTCTAGACCCATTTGTAAAAATAAAAATTAAATTTTAATGGATTTGCTGATTAGAAGGTGGTAATTCTTCTTTCCTAGACATTTTCTAGAAGATTAAGATAAAACTAAAAAGGTGGTACAATGCGTGTACCACACCCTCACAGATTTAAATCATAAAATATCTAAAGAATTGTCAATCCTCCACAAATAAACCAATTACTTTGTCCAAATAGTTTATAAGACAAAAAAAAACTGAGGCTTGTAATTGAGAAATGTAATTTTTACGGTTTTTTAAACATTGGGAAAGTTAAATTTACAAATGAATAATGATGTATTATTTCCATAAAAAGTGTACTTTTGATGATGTTTTCAAGTAAAGTAACTTTGTTATAAAATTAGGATAGAATTGAATCGTAATTAATAAGAAATGTTTTGTTTATATCAGGAAGAAACTAATACTTAAGATTTGTATACAAACACAAAGATAAATTTAACCTATTTTAGGATTTAAATGTGTTAACTTCATAAAACTATAATGTTTAGGTCTTATTTTGCTATTGGTGTCTTTTCTACTATCGTTTCTCAAACTATGAGTCTAGCAAAATAATAGCTATCTACTCTGTCAAAACGAGTAATTGGTAAATACGACAATTGCGAAGCATTAAGGTTGTCTGATCTATTTTGTAATTGGTAAACATGTATCTAAAAAATGAAGAGTAAAAAAAACTGGAAGTGTTCCATTCCTACAAAAGCCGACGCAGATCGAATCGACGTAAAATGAACCCATATTTACAGTGATGTAACTGTAGGGTTTAGTTCTATAGCATGAGTATAAAATCAGCAATTAATAAGCGTTATTTAGCATCGGCGCTATTGTGAATGGGCGTAAACCGATTTTTATATAGTAAAAAGTCTAATTTCTTCACAATTGTATACAATACAAACATAAATAGGATTTAAACTAAAATATCATGTTTAAGTATCATTTTGCTGTTGTTATTATCAATACTTTTGTAGTTCAATTTACACCGGTAAAAAAGCAGGAAATGAAGCGATAGTTTATGTCACCGTATCGTGTAAACTGACCTTAAAACAGTTTACAATTAGTTCCATTATACCCTTTGCAAGTTGTTACAAACTAACAAGAAGAAAACAAGAAATGCTAATATAGGCATCCTTTTTTTCTTCAATTGAAAAACAAACTGCCTTCGAACGAACACCTGATGGATAGGTATGCAAGGCCCGAAGGATATGGCTACGGTAATTATGAATGCATTAACCGGAGGCGCGCAAAACTCGACATCGAAAAGTGTGAAAACGCTCTTAAAGATTACTTCAAAATCCACTTACTACTGCTGCTTTTTTTGCTGTTTTTGTTGTATCGATTAAATAATATGCGCTTAGCGTACAGAATCTAAATGAGCTGATTACCGGGTTATTAAACCGTCCTCGGGCTGATGATGTTGATGCTGCTTCTACTTCTGAACATTCTAACGTATTATTTTTTTATGTATTTAATTCTGTTTCACTTCACTTTGACGTTTTTCTTTTCCGACGTCGTGATTTTGTTGCAGTTGTTTTTCGAAACGACGACTACTAGACGACATGTATCTGCCTGAAGCTCGACGGATTGATTTTCCTTCCTCAACCCGCAATTCTGAGCAGACCTAGGTGTGTCGCGCTTAGGTAAACATGTGCTCGAAGGTGTAGGCTATTCAATTTGCAATTTGAATATCTTACCAGACCAATGATTAATCAATGGGACGCTGATGAGTTATTGCTACCGGATCGATTTGCACTCACTGTCAGGAAATACTTTATACATGTATACGCACACCACGAGGTTTCGTATTATCGATTATTGATAAGGAGAAAACATCCATTTAGATATAACAAACAAAAAAATTGGATCGTTATCGCTGATACGTTTTAATTTTGTTGCAACTTGAGCTCGGATAAAAGTGGATTACAACTGATTAAACAGCATATGCTAAACGTGTACAAAACAAAGAAAACAAATATAAATTCATAATCTAACAAAAAAATTGACATATGCGAAATAAGTTTTGAAATAGTTGAGAAATTATCTTGATGTTAATTATAGAAATTGAAGTCATTAACTATTTTTAGATGTTTTACTAGAAGAAACGATAGATTTTAACCTTAATTAATCCTTAAAATTATAAATTGATTAATTAATTAATTTATTATACAAGGGAGTGGTAAAATATTAAGTGTTTTTTTCTGTTCTCTTCCAACTTTAATTAGTTACTGTTTTATATAACTTAATTGAATCAGTTAATTATTTCTTCCAACTTTATACAATACAATTTTCAAATTAAGATGTTTTGTGTTAAATTCTTCAGGTTTAACAAAATATTCTTCAATAATCATTTTATAGCTTAATTGATACATCATAAATCAATTCAGAGAAAAATAATTTTATTTTGTTCGATTCGATTGTTAATTTATTCTAGTTGAAATTTGATATTGAGTTATACTAAAATATTTTTAAAAAATGTTCTTAAATCATAGATTTGTACCTTTATTTATACATCATTAACTAATTCAGGAAGAGGCAATTTATTTTGTTGAAATCAAGTACAAATTTCTTTCTTTCCTTTCAACTTCAAACAATTCAAGTAGAAATTAGATATTTATAAAAGTATCTTCATGTTAATTGTTACATCATGAATCAGCTTATAGAATTGCAATACATCTTGTTCGTGTTAAGTGTTAAATTTATGTTGGTTTCGCAATGAATATTCGGAAAATTTCACAGAAATGCACGTAATAGTAATAATAATGATTGTTGTTTATGCGCGCGAATGTTACGCAAACTGCGGCCGCCTTCCTTCCAGTTGCAAATTATCGGTGTTCCAAGAAATATAAAGAGAGAAAGAACGATGGGAAAAAGAAAAAAAAAACAGAGGAGGAGAAATGGAGAAATAGTAATTTTTCTTAGATATAATTGCATGCAGTTTTCCACCTTTCGCATCGATTTCGTAACGGCACTTTCCTACAAACCCAGGGGCTTTCATGTAACTTCTGTAAATAACTGCTTTTATTTAATAAACAACCCTTGATTTTGTTTTTATATTTGCATAAATATTTATAGCAATCTAACATTTGTCACAATAAGATGATAAGTGCAACATAATAACCACAAATTCTATGAATGAAATTGCGCAAATATGTATAGCATTTTATGGATAATAAATAGTACATTATAACGTATTTAGAAATGAGTCTTTTAGATGTTTTTCTTTTTCTTCTAAAATTTGTCACAAAAATTGGGTATGGTAAGATGAAAAGTGCAACATAATAACCGCAAATTTCAATATATTGGAATGAATGAATATTTATAGTATTTTTCAGATTAAAAAACACATGTAATTACGTATTTAGTATTGATTATTTTAGATGTTTTTTTCTTCTTTTAAAACAACCACACATTTCAATGTATTTGATGAATGAATTTGCACAAATATTTATAGTATTTTTCGGATTATAAGACGCATGTTATTGCGTATTTAGGAAATAGTCTTTTAGATGTTTTTTTCTGCTAAAATTTGATTAAAAAATTGGATACGACGAGATGAAAAGTGCTCCAAATTATAGTATAATTAAGAAGAAATACAACAACCACAAATTTTAATGTATTTGTTGAATGAATTTGCATAAATATTTATAGTACTTTTCAGATTATAAAACACACGTTAATACGTATATAGAAATGAGTCTTTTAGG